CACACACACACACACACACACACACACACACACACACACACACACACCAGCCTGAGAATGGTTGTGAGAAAGAGCCCAGAATTAGGGAAAGGTATGGGAACTGTGCTGGGCAGATGGGCCATGGACCAAGGAGGGATAAGGTATCCATACCTTCGCACCGTAAGGATGAGCTGGGCCCCTGAAGCATCGATGAGGTTCATGGCACTGGCATGGGAAAGACCCGTGCAAGCTGCCCCATTGATAGACAACAGCTGGTCCTGTTCTCTAAGCCCTGCTCGCCCTGCCTGACTTCTCCTTCGTATCTGAGGGAATAGAGGTTAGACAAATGTAGGGAGAGATGGTGTAGAGTAAGGAACACACATTGGGAGGATCTTGCAGTTAAGGGCTATGGCAGGAAAGATCACAATGTATAGGAAGTTTTATGCTACTGAGCAGGTAGGAGTAGAGATTGTAGAGGAAAGGGGTGATCGTGGAGGCTGAGGGAATGGGGCAGATTCAGCAGATGAACCATTGTATGCAGGGAAGAAATCAGAATTTTGCATGAGGAAAAAAAGCTTGAGAATGCTATAAAGAGGAGGAGTTAGATCTTAATGGGTTTCTCCCTATAAGGCTGCTTTCTGTGAGCTGTACCCCCATTGACCAATAACTCCCGAGTTCAAATCCTGATTCTGCTGCCTACTACTTGTGCAACTTCGGACAAGTCACAACATCTCTGGGCCTCAGTTTCTATATCTGTAAAACAAAGGTAGTTGAACTAGAGGATCTCTTTAAATCTATGGTCCTGTGATCCTCTCTGGCCCTCAGGATCCTAAAATATCTACATAGCGAGGGAAAATACCCCCATGGCAACAACTAAATCTTAGAGTGCTCAGGAGAATTATGTGTGTAGAATATCATCCTCTGAACTGGCCAGGATTCTACCCAGACCTTCCCTTTTCCCTCACTTCCCTATGAGTCCAGCCAATTGATCTCTCTAAATCTGTGCAATATCTGAGCCTGGCAAGATTAGTCAGGTTAGCAGATTAGCATGAGTCCCTCCCCAACTGCCCAAAGCTGCAGGTATATGTGTACGGGGATGAAGTAGGGGACAGATCACGCAGATCAAAATCTCGGTGCCAGACTTAGGGGTCTAACACCTATGGAGTCCCACAGAGCTAAGGCAGAACCTACCTTCCTTTCTATACCCAGGACTGTGTCCAAAAACCCCTATATGAAGTCAAGTGCTCAGATCTACCTCCCTTCACTCAAATATGGAACACACATAGCAGTTTCCCCCCCACTAACCCTTTCTTTCCTTGTAGCCTTCTATAGCTATCCCCAGACCCCCCCCCCATTTCCCTTCCTTGCATCCATCCCCTAACCCAGGGTCTTCCTTACCTTGGACACCTGCAAAGGTTTCCTCTGCTCAGCACCCCCTTGTAGTCGGAAGCCCCAGGGAGCTCCCCCTGACAGCGTGACCTGAACCTCTTCCTCACCACCCATTATTTAGCTCAGCCTGTGGCCCTTGCCTTTTAGAGACTGTCCCAAGAAAAAACTTGAGGGGTTAGAACCCCTGTCCTTCCCGTCTGTCTTGCTACTGCTACCAATCTCTAGGCCTTTCCTACCCCTCCCCCCCAGTTGGGTGGCTTATCCCTTGGCTCAGTACTGCCCAGGACATATGTCCTGTCAATCGGAGCTATGCTCAAAATAGTTGTTGGCTCACCCCCGCCCCAACTCCTCAGGCTGTGCCACTCCAAGGGCTAATTTTAATCAAAGCTCTTTGCCCTGCCATGTTCCCCATGTGTCTTCTGCTCAGGGCTCACAACCCCTACCCTCCAGGCCCTACTGTAATACTAACGCCTCTAGCTACTTTTCCTTCTCCACTGTTTGGTGGGCCAGCTGATAATGCCCCTTCACAAATGCAAATAACAGCTATTCCAAGGGCCCTGACGCCCTAATTTCTAATAAGAATATGGATCCTATGCAGATGATAGACCTCTTTCTTCTTTTAGCCTCCATGCTTCTAGCTTTGAATCATCTGATTCAAGACCAATTTCTGGTACGAATCTCAGTCCACTAGAGTTTAAACCTGAAGTTTTTGCAACCCTATCTAAAGAAGATGAAGCTTCTATTTCCTTTCCTAAGCCTCCAGTGGACCCCGTGAAGATTAGAAGAGTAAGCAGTGCCCATGAATGTTTATTCAAGGCATCCTCTCAGGGAAATCTCCTTCCAGACAAACTATTTCATCTTGATGAGTCAAAGCAGAGATTGAAATCTGAGGACACGGTTATCACACGGGATTCTTCAATTAAGATAAATGGAATTTGTCTGACAGAATTAAATTCCATTGCTCACTTTAACAGTAATAATCCTCAGTTAACACGTGATGGAGACTTAAATATCCATATTCTTATTAGAAATGTCCATTTACTCCCAACCCTTTGGACAATTATCCAGAGTCCCCAGGAAAGGCTTGTTGCACCCAACATGACATCTACTATTGCTGCTACTACTGTTGCTGCTACTACAACTACTGGGGTGTGTGGGGTATTCAGGAGGACTAGCACCTTTGGTTTGAGGGCTTGCTGAGCCCTTTACAGGACTGGTCATCCACCTTTGGTGTCCTCCTGATTCACTCAACTCTCACCTGTGCCTCTGAGAATCTGTAGCATTTAAAATGGCCACACCCTGGTAAAACCATCTCAACAGACAGGCTAAACCAGTTTGAGGGTAACTGACAGGCCTCAAACCTGATGGTGAGTGAGCGGAGTGTCTACGCCAAGTATGTGAAAACTTCTCCTGGTGGAGTGAGCAGATGAGAACAATTTATTCCAACGGCCATGAAAGTGGCTGAAGCAGGTACTGTGGAGTGCTTAGAGCTTGGTCAGGCACTGAAGATGCCAAGGTCATCCACTGCACCCTGGGCCAGTGCCAGTCATGCTGACTTTTGTCTTGCCATTGGACTTCTATGATTCTGGAAGTTGGACTTCTATGATTCTAGAAGAGAGAGTGAGGCTGATGACTTAATGTAGCTTTGCCTCACTAAAATCCAATTCAACTACAAGTCAAGAAATCACCCATGATGTTATTGGTTCTCTTCAAAAATGGAGACAAACAACGATTGCTGCTGCTGCTACCACCACCACCACTGCCCCATTATTTCTCCTTCTTCTTCTTCCACTGCTATTCCTACTCCTACTCCTACTATTTACTCCTCCTTCTCCTCCAGTGGAGTCACTGCCTTGGAAGGTAGGTTTCTTCTAATTAAAAGTCTTCAAGCAAAGGCTGGATGACCACTTGTCCTGTGTATTGTAAGGGGTGTGCTTGCTCTGGTAGGGTTGGACTAGATGGTGTCAGCAGTCCCTTTCAGCTCTAAGGTCCTGTATTTGTTACTACTCTCCTGCTATATAAGATCCTATGCAGAGAATTTCTCTCTAAGCAGCCCTCTCCCCTATAAGATACATGGGATCAATAAGGACAGGTGGACACAGATAGGGAGAGCCCGATAAGCAGACACGGATGAGTATATAGTCAAGTCACAGATAGAGAAGTGGGATGATACTCTGGACCATCCCATAATGGGCTTGAGAGATTGTAGATAATGGGACTGAGGCTCTATGCCTCTTGAGTAGAGAGCTGGATATTAGGAAGCTTGATAGTGGCTGCTTAGATCCAGACCCTGGGCCTAGATTTTGATGAGACGTCTGGTCACTCAAATCTCTTCCCATCTACAGAACATCTCTACTTTTATAATAACAGTTCAGCAAATTAAAAAACAAACAAACAAACAGGTTTAAGTACCTACTATGTGTAGAGTACTGTTGTAGAATTAGATAAAACATTATCCCTACCTTTCCTGGAATTTGTGGTCTTGTAAGTTAGATATGAAAAGACCCAGTAGTTCAGAAGAAAATTTTCAGTGGGAAGATGACCATGCCTCTCACATAATTAATACTTAATAGATGTTTTTCCATTCATTCATTCTTCAGAGGAGCTAGGTTTAGATATTAATCCTGACACTTACTGAGCAATTTCAGGTAGCTCACCTAATCTCTGGGTTTTAGAATTTTCCTTTGTAAAATGGGTGGGTGGTGAGGGAGTTGAACTAAAATGAGGGAATTCTTTCACTATCTCTGAGATCCCTTTCATATCTCTATGATCTTATGACATATATACAAACTATAGTACAAATTAATACATTGTACAAAAAAACTATAAACAAGTACTTGTTGTTGTTTGTCCTTGGTTCTCGAAGAGGACCACGACATCAAGAAGGTGATGCCATGACTTGCACATGAATTGGATTTAAGTGAGGGAGGGCTGTGTAAAGTCACCAGCCTCACTTTCTCCTCCAGAGCAGTCTGGGTCCAGTGGCAAGATATAGATCAGGACAACTGGAGATGATCCCAAACAAGTACTGAGTAAGATCCAAAGGGGTTTCAATACTAACTGGGACAAGGAAAAGCTTTGTTGAGGAGATAACACAATGTGGGGTTGAAAGACTGGGGCAGGAATTTCTCAGGCCAGGGTTGGTGGTGGTTGGTAAGTGAGAGGCCGTTCAAGGAATAGGGAACATCATGAACGAAGGTATTGAAATAGGAAATTGTGGCACGAAACTCACATATTTAAGGAGTAGACCCATTTGGCTAGGCAGGGGTTGGGAACTTGCAGCCTCGAGGCCACGTTTGGCCTTCTAGGTCCTCAGGTGAGACCCTTTGACTGAGTCCAAACTTCACAGAACAAATCCTCTTAATAAAAGGATTTGTCCTGTAAAACTTGAACTCAGTCAAAAGGCCCCACCAAAAGGCCTGATACATACTAAGTCTTACTATCATTTGAAACATTCAAAAAAATGAACTTACCATTTTCCTTTCAAGTAATTATAACTTTTCAATTTCTCCATTTTGGATTATATTATCTTCTAATTTCCCTGGGCTCTATAAATCAAGCTTAACATAGGAAGTCTTACTGGTTATTCTCACTCTATCCTTTCTAGCATTTGATCTCTCACCAACACTGTCTGGTTCTTCGGTTGAAAACTCCTTTAAGGCAGGGACTAATCTTGTTCCTCTCTGTATATCTCCTAGTGCCTAGCACTTAAGAGGTATTTAATGCATGTTTAAAGCTAGGCCTAGAGTTAGGAAGACCTGAGTTCCAAACCAACTTCAAACACTAAGTTGTGTAACCCTGGTCAAGTCGATTAACCTCTGCCTGCCTCAGATTCCTCAGCTGTTAAATGGGCAGAATAATAAGACCTAACTCATAAAGTTGTTGTGAGGATCAAATGAGATACTTGTAAGGCACTTAGCACAGTGCTTGGTATATAATAGACAATTAATAAATGCTTGTTCCCTTTCCTTTCTCTCTTAATCATGACAAGCCTTTGTCACCTCAAATTTGAATCGTCACAAGAGACTTAGTTGATCTCTCTGCTTTTTGTCTCTCTGCTTCCTGAATGCTACTATGGGAATTCTGGAACCCCAACTTCATTATGCTGCTCCTCTGTTCAAGTGACTTAAAATTGTCGACTGTATCAGATTAAATTTTTTCAAAAACCATTTAAGGCTTTTTATCAACTTGTAAGTCTCTCGTTTTTCTTTATTATCCCATGATGATCTCTTTCTTACAGTTGAACCAATCTCTTTGACATTCCTACTTCAGGACTTCTGTGTCCTACAAAGCACAGTAGCATAGTAAAAGGACTGCATTTGGGGTCAGAGGCACTGTGTTCAAATCCCAGACCTGTTACTACGCTTGTGACTTTGGGAATGCTGAACACTTTGGACTTCAGTTTTCCCATCTATAAAATGAGGGGTTTGGAGTAGATAACTTCTGAGGTCCCTTTCAGATCTAAATCATTTCAGAGACTAATATTCAAGCCCTATTAGAACAGGAAATAATTTTGCCGAAATGCTAGTCAGCTAAGTTACATTGTCAGTCAATAAAAGTTCATTAAGCAATGATCAAATAAAATAATATTTGTAATGCCCTTAGCATGGTGGCCTGACACATAGCAGGTGGGAGGGAGCCCCTTGCAGTGGCTTCCAATTTACCATCTTCCTGGGTACTATTAACTTTGTTACTATGTTCTTCCTACTAGTGATATTAAATTCAGTTTATACATTATTAAATTTAACTTGTTTCAATTGTAATGGGTCCCTCCCCCTTGAATTCTCAGATACTTTCTGCCTGCTTCTGGAGAATACCCAGGCATTCTGGGGAACTGGCTTCATCTTCAGACCTAACTGGGTGCTGAAGAACTAATGACCCTGGGGACAAATGTGGCAGCTTCCTCTTCATGACCTTTTGGACGCAGCCCTCCAGGTGACAAATATGATTTATGTGATAGGTGGGGGAGGACCCTTCTGTCCTCCAGCATAATGGCAGGAGGGCTTGCTGATGCCAGCATAGAACACTCGAGTAGAAGGAACTCAATGAGATAAGTTTCTACTAGACCCCTTGGCTGCCTTTGCCTTCTTCCATTAGCATCAACCTTGTGAGCA